TTTTTTTAATATCAAAAATTAAGGTAAGCAACAGAAGTACTCAGTTTCTCCTCAAAAGCACTTTTCTAGAAAGAACAGAATACCAATGATGTAGGTCCATCCCTGTATTTTTGTTATATTAAGCAGATATAACAATTCCTGTATGCAGGTCTACATCTGATTTCCAACTTTCCGAAGAAGTGGAAGATTTAATAGCCGTGCTTGTTTTCACAACAGCTGCGGACAAGGGCAATGGAAGAGAGAAAGACAAATCTTACCACATACACTGTCTATGCCTCATTGTGACATTTTTTTTTAATAGCGGCTCCTTAAACTTTCTTCTTTAGGAATAACACCTGGGTAGCATTTTCATTATATTTCAGTATTTCGCAATGATTTACTTGTTTCGAGGGATCTATAGATACGCAACGTGATCATAAATTACTGAAAGTATGTACTTTGGGCTATTGCGACCAAAACATTTTCTCAATTAGAGCTAAACACATGATAAAGTAGTGTTTTATGATTTCCTATCGGACATCTGAATATCCTGAGATGAAATTTGGTCTCAGAAGGTATTCGAAACGGCCAAACTACTTAGAAAATTTGGTTCAAAATACTTATTGTTAGACCTATAGGAACAGATGTTGCTGAAGCAGATTTGTATGTAGTTCTGATTGCTCAATCTGATCCTGCTTCTATCAAGAGGCATCTTTTTACGTGTAAAGTAGTCCTGAGTACAGAAGAAGGAAGTGTTGAGTCATCATCAATTATGGCAACAATTTCAGATAGTTGATGCGTCTAATAAGGGAACCTGCAGGTTCAGATGGACATCTATCTCAAACTGTGCCAAATCGGTAGATTACACCACGAAAACCCTATGCAACTTGAATTCTGTCATGTAAAACTGAGGAGCCATTTCACAATGAAAGACCAGCGTACGTGAAGGCATTTCACTCTCACCTTTTGTTGCCTCCCTGCGTAATCACTACATGAAATGGAAAGGCTGTAAAGCTGCAAAACGCTGCCGATAAACTAAGAGCAATAGCTAAACAAGGCCCTATATGATTGTTTTGAAATGGAGCCGTAGAGTAAAAAAGGCAAAAGCTTTAAAAAAAATAGAATTTAGAAACAAGACGGCACAAAGAAAACTTATACATTGAATTTTGCGAATATAACATAGTCAATACTGAATCTCTGCTAACACATCTTTTGTGATTCTAAAAAAGGATAGACCTATAGCAGCGCGGTATACCGGAGTTTTTCGAGTAAAATAGGTCAGGCCAAGATCCATGAAGAAACTTTGACTAACTTTTTCCCTGCAGACGCCGATGAGGTCACCCAGTTATCTTCTGTGCTTGCGGTGGCAAAGAAATTAGTGACCAAAGAAATAAAAGACGGTATCGTTCCGCTGGTTAGGGCCTACAATACACAATATTTTATCAATCTCTGAAGTTCTGCTTCAAGCCGTGAGTCTCTACAGAAAAAAGACCAGTATTACTTTTCCTAGCATACATTTTTAATGTTGATAATGCTAATACCATGATTCGTGGCATGGTGACAGTAGGAGTTTGTACTCTTGCCACAAAGCCAACTCCTCGTCCAGATATGATGGAACTGCGTAGGAACGACATTGGCGAGTTAGAATCTACCAAAAAGGACAATCTCCATGCGTCTATCACCATAAGGACGATTTTGGTGTTGTTGTCCACAAGATGGTCATCGACATCGTTTTTGAAACATCCTTAACCACGATAACAGTTTGAAACTTAAAAATCTGCTTATCTCAATTAGGGCAGGACTAGACCTACCTGAAAACTTGCTGGTTTCGGAGAATCTAGCTAATGACTCTCGGTTCGTACGAACATCTCTCTTAGCAGTCAATCCAAAGCAAATGAGCAGCACAGCAAGTGAAAGAAAACCAAAGGCACACTAGAAATAACTAGCAATAGAATCAACGAAAAAACAAAAAATGAATTGTCACATACGGACACACGAAGAAACTCAGAGCCCTTCAGAAGCATAACGAAGATTACAGCTACAGAAGAGTACAAGTCATCTAGGCTTTTTTGGACCCTCCAAATCCTAAAATAATCTGCACCTTTTTGAAGAATGGACATTACAGCTGCGAAAGTCTATCAACAGTTAAGATGAATGATCGATGTGACGTTGAAGAAAAAAAAGCATAGATAGATAAGTTGTGATTGGGCTTGCCTCTTTTGTAGTATTTAAAT